TAACAAAGTGTTTAAATTGTCCACATATTAGATGATTTGGCTTCAGTTTTATGAGGGCTTTTGTTAGCTTTCACCTGCAACATTTGTAGTAATACTGCACAGTAATTTGTTGGTTTCAATTTAATTTCTATTAGCTCTGCCAAAAATGCACCTTAAAAGGTAATATCAAAAAATGGTAACTTTCCTATATTTTGTATTTTTATTTCTTCTTTTTATTATTATTGATTGCCACTAGAGAAAACTGCCTTTCTGTCCCATAGTTAGAGATGTAGAGGGCTAACCAATTATCCCAGTAAGCCTGTTTACTGGGGTAACCAGTTAACCAGTGGGAGGCTGCTCCGGTTGGATCTGGCCTGACCTGACTGGAGCAACCCACAGCATGGCAGTCTCAGCCTCTATAGTGCAGTGTGGCAGGCTCTGCCTGGCCTGGCTGGAGCAGCCCCTTCCTGTGGCATGGCAGGCTTGGTCCAGCCTGTCCGGAACAGCCTGCAGATGAGCAGGACTTGCCTGGCTTGGCCAGAGCAGCACCCACCCATGGCAGGATGGGCTCAGCCTGGCCTGGCCAGAGCAGCCTGTTATGGAGGCAGGGAACTACTCCATTCACGCTACCCTGCTCTAGGGTCATAGTTAACCAGTTAAACATTCTGTTTAATCAGTTAACTTTTACATCCCTAGCTGTGGTGGGAAAAATAGGATTTTTACCTCTTTAAAGTTTATGATGGCCATCGTGTGTGAAATCCTTATGAAGAGTTTTCATGACTGTCTGAAGCTTGAAAATCTCTATTTTTATTGGGAAGTTAAAAACAAGCCCTATATGTTTTCTCTTTTTTTATATGCATTGGCAAAAGTCAGAATTTTCTTTAGGATTTCTTTGAGAGGACCAATGAGATGATTCATGAGGACTCCACATATAACTTGCTCAGCTTAAAAAAGGACGTAGAGACCATCTTTAATTCTTTAGACCAGAAACTGGATATCTGCTATAAAAATTCAATAATAAACAAATTTAAAATAATTATCAAACCTAAAAGATGCATCTATTGCAGCTTTTCTCTTTCTCTGTATCTCCCTTTTGTCTCTTTCTGTCTTTCTCATTCTTTGTTGCTGTACTAGGGATGTTAAATTTCCATTGACTACTTGATTAGTCAATAAGTGGGAGAGTGGGGTGCTCACTATTCCCACTGTGCCTCTGCCTTTTAAATGTAGTAAGAGCCCCACAGGGCTCTTACTACATTTAAAAGGCAGAGGTACATCAGTTAGGACCCAGCAGAAGTGGGATGGCTTCAGTCAGTCCCTGCTCCTGCCGTTTCCCCTGTTGTGCCTCTGCTTCCCCTTCTCCTCCTCCCCCCCATGGAGATGGTGCTGGGGGACGATGACTGGCTTTTAAGCTGGCTCCACCAGCACCAGCTCTTGCTCCTTTCCTTGCTATCAGCTCCTGCTTGCCTCATATCTCCTGCTTTCCTCTCTGCTGGCTGCCTCGCTGCCGACTTCTGCTCCCCTCCTTGCTGCTTCTGATACAGAGGCCGGGGGGGAGAGTGGGGCGAAGCAACTAGTCATTTACATCCCTATGCTGTACCCTTTTCATGTTTGTGTCCTGTTCTCTTGTTTCCTTGAGTAGCAGCATTTTTTTCTTAGTCTTTTATATTTGCTCCCATAGAATCAAGGGTATTTAGAAAGCTGGAAACAGAAAACAAACAAATAAATTACATATTCTTCTTCACATGATGTCCTGTGGGTGCTCCACACAAGGTGTAGGGACATCCCAGAGCCATGGTGCAAAGCTTTTTTAGCAGTTGTTGGTGAGGTGCACATGTGCGAAAGGAGCCTTGCACTTGGGGGTGGGCCCCCCCCCCCCCCCCTTCAGTTCCTCTTCTGCCGTCCTCGGTCACAGATGGAGCTCTTCATTCTCCTCAGCTTCACCTCAGGGAGGGTGAAAAACCTCTTGATTTCCCTCCCCTACTTCTCCTTTGCGTTCTCAACACCACGTGTCATCCCATTCATCTAAAAAGAAAAAGAAATTACTGTCAGCCTCTCATGGAGCCACCGCTTGTTTTAGCACCTGCCTCTCAGGCAGCTGGTAGCCCCACTGCTCCCTTCCTGATTAAAAAAATAAATAAACCCCACCCACTAAAAATAACAATACAGGCAGTCCCCGGGTTTACGTACAAGATAGGGACTGTAGGTTTGTTCTTAAGTTGAATCTGTATGTAAGTCGGAACTGGCGTCCAGATTCAGCCGCTGCTGAAACTGACTGCCCGCCAGTTCTGACTTACATACAGATTCAACTTAAGAACCCCAAGCTTCCCCAAGTCAGCTGCTGCTGAAACTGATCAGCGCTGATTCCAGGAAGCC